ACCTTGCCCCCGGCGGAGGCGCGTCCGCTGTGCGAGCTAGAGCCCTCCCTGCGTATCCAGAGGATGCCCACGGCCGTCCCCGTGGAGACGGAGCAGCAGCCCCACGCCGCGACGTCTGGCGGCACGCGCGCGTTGAGGCGCCGGAAACGTCCGCTCCCCACGGAGACAGAGACGGAGGACAGCGGGCTGTATTTGTCTCCTTCCGCCCGCCGCCGTTCCACCCGCCTCCGACCTGACGGGGAGGGCGGGGGACCGCTGACGCCCCCGCCGCACTCGCCCACCACCTTAGGCCCCAACATCGAGGCCGGCGGGACTCTTGCACCAGCACCCGAGATCTTCGACAGTGGGCGTCGTCTTTCTTCTTGTTCTCGGTAAGTGGGCACCCTTTCATTCATTCTCCTCGTCGCCGTCCTCTCTCCCCCGTCTCACGGCATTTACTTCTGCATGCTACAGGCTCCCAGCTTCAGCGCAGACCATGGTATCGATTCCCCTGCTCGCCGCTTCGGAGCACCATCTGCCATCTTCCACGGCCATCACTGATCTGTCCAGAGAGAATGATGAAATGAAGCGCGAGCTCGAAAAGGTGAAGAGGGACCTCGAAAAGGCGATCGCTGAGAAGCATCTGTGCCGCGACACCTACGATCGTGCCCGTGCTGCTCTCCGCCAGCTAGACCTGGATCCGGGTGAGCTGCGGCAGGCGGACCACTCGGACTCTTGTGCCTTATTCGGCCGCGTTGTGGACCGTCTGGAGCTAATCGTCCGCGCTATGCCGGAACGTTGGCTAGAGGGCGCCCGCGAGGTGGCTGTAGGCACCACGGAACTCGTGCTCGGCCACTGCTTGCGGCTGCACCCACAAGTGGATCTTCAGGCGGTCGTCGAAGCAGCCGTGGAAGAGGAGCTGCCCCCTCCGGAGACGGACGAAGCACAGGCGCGGTACGACTGGGTCCTAGAGGGCGCACGACGGATCGTCCACCAACGTGTGCACGTCCAGGCACCTGTCGGAGACGGAGAGGACACCAGCACAGAGGAATGGGAGGGCGACCAAGGCGGTGGTGGCGCTGGGACAGGCGGCGGCGCGGGCAGCTCGGCGGCGGCCCAAGAGTAGTACTAGTTGCGTTCTTCTGAGTTTATGCAGTGGGATGGGTTTTTAGGATATGTCAGCTCATTTTGCTTTCAGACAACTGTTTGTGATTTCCTGATTTTCTGTTGGGCGCTGGGAACTATTTTAAATTCGTAGGATTTTGCGGTCCGATCATGTCTCTTTTATTGCCTTTTGGACAATGTGAGTTATTAAGCTGTGTTTCAGCTGTGACTTCAGGTTGCCCTTGATGATGTAGGTTGTGCATCTGAAGTCTGCAAGTCCCATGGCTAGTTCCCTTCCAAGAACACTGCAACTGAGAGCGCATTCTATGCTGTTACAAGGTGAGATCATACTGGTTGTCGTGGACATGTAGGCATGACCTATCCTTTGCTCCATCGGTAATAGTAGTAGCAGCTTTGAGACTTGTGGTTGTGCTTGCATATTCTTTCTTTCTTTTTCATCACGGACGAACCGAATTTCATTACCCATGAGCAACGAATAATCATGCACAAAAGAGACATGTGGTTATGTTTGCATATTCTCATTTTCATCAGCCTGGATTCCCTGCGTTCCCCCTCCCCCCCCCACCCCCCATGTTCTGGTTTGGTTTTACATTCACTGTCAGGCCCCGAAGGAATGCTGTAAGCATGCATAATGCATTGATGATGCAGATGAAGGCAACGTATCATCAGGTGCAAACCAACCAACTTGTGCAAATTTGTAAACTACCAATCAGGACCACTATATACTGATCCAATGGATGGAGTGAGAGGTGGGATTTTTTTGCGCTTAAGCCCCCCACGGCCCCACCCGCCGGCCTTTTTTTTTGCGCTTAAGCCCCCTCACCCTATCCATTGGATCAGCATCTAGTGGTCCTGATTGGTAGTTTCCAAGTTTGCACAGGTTGGTTGGTTTGTACCTAATATGTTGCCGCAGATGAAGGTTTTCCAGCTTTCATATTTGTGTCCTAACAAACCGATGATCCATTAATGATTGATAACCAATCTTTTGCACAATCTCAAATCAGTTGATATATGGGCATATGGCCGTTCGGTCACATAAATAGTTTTATAAATGCATAGTTCTTCAATACATGATCGATTTCATAGTGACCCTGAGCCATGGAATCCGCTCTTCTGTCATGTTTTGTATTAGTATTATTCAGCACAGGTTGGACACAGCCACTTTGAGCTGAGCATATGCGTGCTCTTTGCTGAAAATTGACTGTTTCAAGCTGAACTTTCTTGAGGACATACGTTTGCTTCAGTTCTACGTAAAACAGTGCTGTCCATGCCTATAGATGACCATTCCGGCCACCCGGCCTGGTCCGGCACGGGCCCTGGTGCCCGGCAAAAGCACGGCCGCTGTGGCCGGGCCATCACTGACAGGCCGGGTCGGCCCGAAGACTGTCACCAAGGATGCTTGCAGCCGTCGGCGGAGAGGCTGAGACGCAGGGGCGGGACTGGCAGCCGAGCGGGGCCGGGGGAACACTGGAGGAGGTGGCTCTGGGGGCCTAGCGGATGGAGAGGGACCTCTCATCCGGGCGAGGAAGCTGCCGGCGTGGAGGCCGCGAGGGCTCAGCGACGCCCCGTGGCAAGGAAGACGCGAGAGAGGAGGAGGCTCCCGGGAGCCCGGCGAAGGAAGCAGGACCGCCTCCTGCGGTCCCACCGAGGAAGCTGACGGCCTGGAAGCAGCGGCGGACCCAGAAAATATTTCAGGGGAGCTGAACAACACTGTTGTTCGATCTTAAGTCTCAGCTCCCCCTACACTATAGAACTTTGCCTAAAAATTCATGGGGGCTCAACAGGGGTTCCACTGCTGCGATATGGGTAGGGAAGCTTGAGCCCCCCCCCCCCTGTGTGTCCGCCCCTGCCTGGAAGGACGGGAGTGAAGAGCAGCTTTCCGAAGCCACGAGCGGGGAGACCGGGAGAGTGGAGAGGCCTCCCCGGGAGGGGAGAGCGGCGCCCAGAAGTAGCCAGGCCACTCGATACGGAAGATGCGGGAATGTCAAGTGAGGATGGGAAATTAGGGTTAGAATATACTCCTATGAGACTTAGATAGTGGGCCTCTACCGTGCCGCCATTGATTAACGGGCCATGTTGTGCCACCCGACGTGCCTAGGAAGAGGCCCAGGCACAACCCTATTTATCGGGCTAGGCCAGGCCGGGCTTGTGCAAGGCCAAAATACGGTTCTTTGGGCCGGGCCAACAGGCCACAAGCTACATGGCCATCTATATCCATGCCCTTGGAAATTTTGAACTGACGAATGTCGGAGTTGTATTGACTTTACCTGCAAAGTTTTTATCATTTAATATTTTGTTGAAAGGAGGTACAAAGGTCTAGTGCAGGAACCGGAGAACATGTTGAACGCGTATAGAACTCAAATCCATACCTACAACTAGAAAATTTGGCCCGGCTTTTGCTGCCAAGAAAATCATCTGAACTAGTTAGTTTCAGGATGTGTTTACTTTTCAAATAGTCAATAAATGTTCACATGGTATGGATTCATGGTGTCTTCTCTCTTCATCTAATTGCAGGGCTAATCATGCAAGTTTTGGCTACGTTGATGATTGCTGCAAGAGTTGATTGCATAGACTTATGTGTGTGGACAGATTGTAGTTATATCTTTGGTTATGTAGTTTGACAAATGTAATGGATTTATGCCTGACAAAATGCTTACACATATGCTTATTCTCCTATAACTTGTTCTGTTTGTGTAACCAAATATTGTGACAGATAGTTTCTATATAATGGTAGCAATTTTCTACGTTGCAATAGCATTTTTGAAACCTTTGGTCTTTTCTAATTTTTAAATGTATTTTTGTTGGCCAGGATTTGCATCCCTATTGTGTTTCCAAACGGTGCCTAGGATTTTTCTTACTGGTGGAACTACTATTACCTAGCGGGAAAAGGTGGCATGTGCATGGAAGAAATTCCACATGCTTTTTTCCTACCCCTCTATACAAAAGAGCCCTTAACGTTTAGGACAACACTATTTAAATTTATCTCTACTGCTAAAAATACAATAAGGAATCGTCAACACCGCTCCCCCCTCCATTGTCCCGTGCTGTGAATGCCCTATGAACAGGTTTTTTGTGCTCTCTTTGATGGCCCTGTCCGCTGACCCATGAGGCCATAGCGAAACCTCTACTAGTGGGAGGATCTGTGATATCCCAACGCATTTGCCGGTGAAATAACTTATTGGTAGCGCCCGTGCTATGCCGGCATCCAATCACGCTGCCCCCACACTATTCTTACCGTCTCACTCGATAGGTGTCCTATAAGAGGTGGCTGCATGCATCCTAGGAACACCTATGTAGACAGGAGTAATCAACTGTCGCTCATTCCTCACCTCCAATCGTCTTCAACCCGACGGTCGTCGTCCTTTGTGGTTCAAGAGTTTCATCATATGCAAAGGTATATTTGTAGGGCATTTCATTTCACCGGTATAAGGTTGAGTAGATCGAGAAATGCTTGATCAGGTTTAGGATAGATAGTCGTGATATCAAGATAAACTTGTTTGCATAATGGTTATCTAGTGGCACTCGTGTGATCTAACTTTGCATGAATGTTAGGATCGAGTGGCAGTTTGAAAATGCAATTGAAAACCTTTGTGAAATGATTTGAAAATTCTACCATGAGCTAAAGGTGATGATTGTCTCGTGGGACAACACTTGGAGTTTGCAGCTTTTCAAAAGATTTGAAAATGGTTTGAAAAGATGTTTAATTGAGGAGGCTCTCGGTGGGTTGTGGGCTCCAAAGTAAACGCTACATAGTTGTTGTTAGAGCAACTCCAGCCCAGCATGTAAATTGGGCCCCTATATTTTTCATTTGCGGGCTAGTCTGCAAAATATAGGGACCCAAATTTGCTTCCAACTCCAGCCCAAGATCCTATCAGAGCTCCCATAAAAAAAAGACCCTACCGCTCTAGCTCCGAAGCAGGCCCCCGCGCCGCGCACCCGCCGCAGGCGGCTGGCGCCGCCAGGACCATCGCCTCTATCGTCCTCGACTCCGCCGAGTCCTCCTTCACGGCCTCCTGTGCACGGCAGGACTGCTGCTCTGACAGCCTCTCCACGGCGTCCGAGGCGTCGGCGCTAGCGGCGGCGTGCGACGACGCGGCGGAGGACGCCATCGTCGCGCGGGGCATCCGCTCCGACCGGCTCCTCTTCGACCCAGGTGCGTCGGCCACCAACTCCATCCTCGAAGAGAAGTCCGCCGCCGCCGCCTCGGCCTCGGCGGGCCCGTGGCACCTCGACCTCCGTTCTCCGTGGCGGCGTGAAGGTCATCCGCCATCTGCCCTCGCCCCTCCCGTCATCGGTGCTGTTCTTGGCTGGCGGCATTTCTTGGCTGGCGGCAGCAGTAGCAGCACATTGTGGAGTCGCCCCAGCCCCCAGCCCCTGCTTCATAGTGAGTCAGTGTGAGTGCTTGATTTCTTTGTTGTTTACTTGGATCTTGATTGAAATCAAAAGAAAGGGAATATGCAGAAAGTTTAGTGATGAAGTATAGGCAGAGCTAGCAGATCACTTTATGCAAAAAATTTCATGGACACATTGCCTTCGATGCTCTAATATGATGGACATGTTATATGAAAACTAGTGTATCTGTTTGATTCCTGTAGAGAAGAGAGGATGGCAATCATGCCATGTACCTGTTTCATTCATCTTTTCTAGCATTACATCATGTTTTCTCACATGTATGCTTTATTTGTTTGCTGAGTAGAGCAAGCTCTTTTGGTTTTGATCCAGAAATTGGCCTGAACAAACAGAGCTTGCAAACATCTGCTAATCTTATTCTTTCCTCTAAACTGTACTGCTTGTTGCCGTCTAGGTCCTTTTCTTCTTCATGTTTGCAAACAGAGCTTTAACTATACTACTTAGTTGACAGCCTTGATCCCATTCTTTGCCTAAAAATGTGGATAACATCATTATATCCCTGACATTTTCCCTTTTTTGTTGTTATGGCAGATGTCAAGGTTTGGAACTAGAGTTCGTCGACGGTGGGATGAAGAGGACGAATCTGATGTTGACGACCTCTTCATCATTGCTGGTCTTCTTGAGGGCTCCAAGAGAAACAAGCGCAAGAAAAAGTTTCGTGGGTCGTTGCTGGGTCGCCGCAAAGTGCCACGGGACATTTCGGGAGGTCACAATCGCATCTACCTGGACTACTTCGTGGACCAGTGTGTATACAGTGAGAGACATTTCAGAAGGAGGTTTTGGATGTCCAGGTCGCTCTTTCTGCGGATAGAGGAACTGCTCAGGTTCCAGCAACTTGGAGATTTCAATAACATTCCAGTAAAACATTCCAGCTTTACATTACAGCGACGATCAGCTAATGGAGATCTCAATAATCATTATGATAACACATATAGCATTAATAATGATAGCATATTTAATCAAATATAGCATCTCTGATAACACATATTTAATCAAATATAGCATCTCTGATAACACATATAGCATCTCTGATAGCATAGCATATACTGAACAATACTGATTGCAGTGCCATTGATAATGATAACAGTAGCATAAGAAAACTACCACTACCAGATATAAGTGACTCCACTCTCACCAAACCTACACTCCACTCTCACCACTAGCTGTCTCGCCTACACTAGCACTCATCGCCTTCACAATCTTCGCTCTCTTCACCTTCACGTATGCCCTTTGATCATCGTCCATGGTGGTCAAATCACAAAACATAATTTTTTGTTCCTGCTCCCATGCAGCCGCTCCTCCTCCATCTGAAGCCTGCGTTGCTCAAGCATCATATCCTTCTCCCACCTTTCTTTCTTCATCATATGTTCCTCGGTCTTCATTACCAACAAATTTTGCATCATATCCTTGTACTCGTCATCTCCTTCATTTTTTTTCAGCTTGTCTTTGGATTGCTTTCTACCCGGAGGTCGGGCTTTCTTGGCAGAAGGGATTGAGGAGCTTTCTTGGCCTTGGGCAGTTGACTCATCGTCCTCTTGTTCACTTCCTACCGGGAGGTTGAGCTCTCTGGACTTGGCCGGCTTCTTGTTGCCTTCAAGCGTTGATTCGAACTTCTGAGTGTGCCTCAACGTGAGCCAACAATGTTCGAATTGACAATTTTTGCCGTTCGCTTTTCTGGCATACCTTGCTTGGGCTTCCAGCAGCTGCAGCAAAGATCAAGTGCATGATTAGATATATAGCAATGACAAGATATGGGATGAACCAAGTGCAAGATCAATTACATGCTCTTGGTATGGAATGCCGCTTGGATGACGACGCTCGACCTCCTCGTAGTAGCCTTGGAATTTCATGCACTCCTTTAGTATGATCCCAAAGCGATGCTCGAGTGAATTGGGAGTCCTATCGGACTCAAAGTCCCTGTTCCTGTGGAAATCATTTGCGATCCTCTCCCAATAAGTTTTTCCTGGCTGCTGATTCCCTATGATAGGGTCATTGCTGATATGAATCCAAGATTTGCAAAGTTGGATATCTTCAAGATTAGTGTAGTTGCTACCTCGCTTGGATTTGCCGCCAGTACTTGGAGTGGCATCCTGCTGCCTCAACAATTCCAAATCATCATCCACTTCTTGTGTCAATATATTTGTGAAATATCCACTTCCTGCTGCACTTGAAGCCCTTGGTTGCTGCAAACAAATATACAGAAATATGAGTGTTGATTCAGATTCAGCTATTAGAACAATCTTAACTCAATGACTGATGACAGCTAAATTATTAAGGAAGTTCTTTACTCATGAACAATGCCACCGACTGAAAAGGAGCTTGGCAGCTCTGTACATTGAGGAGCTGTCCTGACTTAAGAGCAGAACTAGCTAACCAGTTCAAGCCCTACTACCATATATGATGTGTTTAACAACAATGGGTCAAACGTGGCGGTTAAGACAACTTATAAACTTTATGTATAGCAACCTGTTTTACAAGAATGCCCTAATTACCTTAACTGAACCAAGTAAAATGGCATACAATTGCACATGACTATGATGAAGGCAAGTATGTAATAGATTGCAAAGAAACTTCAGAAGCCCAAAGTTCAAACTTGTGATACTTATATTGAAACTCATCACAATGGCATACAAGCAACAAGCCACAACATCTAGTGTCTAGAGGTAAACTCAACTATTTAATTCACAATAAATGCCTAAACACCATGATGGAACTCTAGTGCCAGAGTACTCCTATGACAGTGGAGTATTAAATTGGAACCCTCTGTAGCATTGCAAATGTGCAGATCCCCAAGATCAGACATCATGAAAATCCAAGATTATGCAGTAGAGGCAGCTCTTAGGTAAAGATTATCATATCTGAATCTAGTGCAGCTACAGCTTTGCATCTGAATCAAAAAGAATATACAACTGCTACTGCTATAAACCAGGTGGGTTTATGTTTAACCCTAGAAAAGAAAGGCTGAACTAGGACTTGTTGGATTGTTGATATGTCAACTACTATGTGTTCAGATTAGATACCCAAGACAAATTGGCTATCAATATTGACGCAAGCTCTCTTGGGAATGAATCAGAACTTCAGAAGGCTCTCTTGGGAATGAAATTAGCACAACTCACCGAGTAGTCAGGCGTCCAATGGTTGGGGCTGAAGTCGTCGCTGGCAACCTCATAGACGTGTGCTGGTGATGTTGTGGTGCTGCCGGCGTCCCAGGTGGCGGCGTGAGGCTCCGTGAAGGTCAGCGCATGAGGGCCGAGTAGAGGCTGGCCGTTGGGGAACGGCGAGGTAAGCCGCTGCCGCCACTGCCGGGAGAAGGCATCCTGCCGCTGCCGCCGCCGGGAGAAGGGCCTTCTTGGCGATGAGGCAGGTTGGCAGTGAGGGGAATCGAGGCAGATTGGCGATGAGGAGCGACGAAGGAACGACGTTTCGTGGCAGCAGCCGGACGGGGAGGCAGCGCGCCTCCGGAGAAACCCGGCGCCGCCATTTGCGGCTCCCCGCGCTGCCACAAGCCCACGCGACGCGCGAGCGTGGCTGCAGCCCCACGACATGCTCCACGCGGCGCGGTGCTCCTAGGGTGGACGGGGGCGCTCGCGATGCGTTGCCGAGGTAGAGTCCGGGAGGGGAGGAGGCTCGCGGCTCGCGGCAGGAGCAGCACGGCGGCTCCCGAGCGGCGGTGGGGAAGACGAGCGGCGGCGGGGAAGACGATTCGGGGGAGGAATAGGAGGGCCTGTTTTCTGGGGACCTGAAATTAAATTTTGACAGCTCTCCTAAAATGGGAGCCCAAGTAGGAGCTGCATTGGAGTGGATTTTTTTGGATCAAGTCCCTAAATTTGGAATAGGGACATGTTTAGGAGGTGGGCTGGAGTTGCTCTTAGTGGCATGAGTTGGCTTGACCAGATGTTGTGCCGCCTGGTGGTCTGACCGCGGCCCTGTTTGGCACGTGGAAAATTGTTCAAGCGTTGGGTGCTTTCTCCAGAGGCTGTGGCGCGAGGAGGACCAGAGAAAAGGGGCATTATCCATAGGCCTTGGGCCGTTGTCAACGTGAATGTCCAAATCTGGTTTGGTAATTAAGTAACAAAGTTATGTGGACTAATGTGTTTCATGTGAGATGAATAAGTACTTGGTCCAAAGATACACTAGGTTGAGCAAGACATAGAGCTATGATGGAGAAATAGCTTTGTGCATGATATAAAGTGCTCAGCTAGTGAAGGTTGAAGGAGCTCATTGCATATAAGACATAGCATAATCTCGTGTGGCTGCTAGGTGGAGAAGAATAGAATATCAAAGGGTGAGGCTTGACCATGAAAGAACCGGGTTGCGAGCGTAAAGGACAAGCTAGAGGCCCGAGTGCGATAGACTGTCGAGACGATGAAGCGCAAGTAGAGGATAGGGCTTAACGTGGATTAATCTCTCCCTTGATCTCTCATTTAGTAGCTCGAAACAAAACATGCAAAAACCATTAATAACGCGCCGCTACTTTACTTTAGAAATGGTCGCCACACAAGGAAACATACGCTGGGAATTCGAACTAGTTAATTAACCTTAATTTAACCATATGCATGGAAGTCCATAACGTGAAGTATTGCAGGCAGTAATCACTCTCCATAATTTGCACACTGCTCGCCTGGCACAGCTGGTTCTCTACTTCAGCGCCGCTTGCTCAGTCTCACTATATATGTGGATGCAGGATCGATGATATATG